AGAGACAGTATGTTCACATATGCTCTGGACCAAAACTGAGCTGTTTTTCAACAAGAGACTATCACCATCAGTTTTGTGTAGCATACGTACACACAAAATGCCAAAATCTACTCTTCTTAATACAAGGCCAAAGTGGAAAGTTTTAAGATTATTTGTACTTTGCACTGCAACTTTCACTAATCAAAAGAAATCATAAGTATGTTTTTTAGGCACTTACTTATCTTTATGACACTAATTGAGAGTATATATATATAGAACCAGCATAGAAAAGCAGATTACTTTTATTTAAAATCATGTTATATTCTTGCAAATATCAAAACTCTCCCTGCATAAATGAATCTCACCAAGTCTATGCAAAAAGACACAGATTGCCAAGAAAGCATCAGAAAGGGTCTCTCTGCATGGAGATGTACAAAGTCTCATTGCTCATCTCCTTCATCCAGAGCTGTTCAGCAGATGCCTAGCAGGAGGCACTAGGCTGCTATTATCCAGCTGTAGGAAGGACATGCAGAGAGGCCCTGCAACTGATAAAAATCCAAAAAGCATTTTTTTAGACCTAGCCACACTAGTTCTTCCTAGTGACATGTATCTGCCTACTTCAAACCTGTCCCTCCCTCTTGCTATCCTTTATGTAGTTTTCTTCCTCATGTCTTGTACCTCACCCTTTCTCCATTTCCCCTCAGTCTTTGGCATAACAGATCACTTACACATCTTGTGAGTAACCTCGGGTTCTTTGTGTTTTTAAGCGAGCAAACACTCTCCCTCCACATTCAGGAAATTAATTTGATATGACAGGCTTTATGTCACAGCCTTTGTCTTGCTCTGTCATATCAGGATGCTCTGACCGCCAGCAGCATTATCTGGCTATGTCCAGCATCCAGGGGAACCAAGGAAGTAAGGTACATTTTCCAGTCTTAGCAGCAACTATTCCTTGCCTCAGTGACAGCAAAGGCACCTGCTGTATTTGCCAAGTCCTGATTCAAAAATCCAGACTGCTGAAGCTGTCAGAAATATTAGAGAGCAAGTAAATAGTCTTTCCTCCCTCCTGATCCCAAAAGCCTTTTTCACCCCTTCCCAACAGCCTAGATCTATTAAAAGAGCAAGCAGTATAATCCAGTGGTTTGGGTACCCTTTTTTCTGGCAAGAGGTGTTTCCTCATCTGCTCTCTAAAGAAAGAGACCAGATGGATGGCCCAAGCCAACTGCACTGCAGGTCTGGGTGCAACATTTTCAAGCTGAAGAAGGCTCAAAGTTCTTCTCTCTCACCCACTTACTTTCCAGAAATGCAAATTTCCCCATTTTGGATTTAGGCTCAGAGAACAGGGTTCTAATGTAAATTTGGGGTTGTAAGCTCAAAAGATACAAATTGGCTAGCATACAGCTGAACTTTTCAAGAAGCATTTGAATGATGCATACAGAAAGATACACGCAGATATATGCTTTAGATACATTCTAAGGATTTTCTGCTCTTTCCTTATAGGATAAAGCACACAAGAATGCAGACAATTAGGAAATAAAGTACCTGGCTATAACATCTGCACACTCTGTTTGCCTTAACCTGGAAGACACAATTCTATCTGTGACAGTAGCAGTGTTTAGGAAAAAAAATTCTGGATCTATAAAATAGGCCAGGGTGGAGTGGGGGGTCTTTTTAACATTTTCCTTCATTTTCTTTCACTTCAGTTCATAAAATGGAGACTTATTGAATGACCAAAAGTCATCCTTTGGTCAAAGGAGCAAAGGTCTGTGAGACTACAGTAAGTTTAGTGATATCATTTTGGTTCTCAAGCCAGACACTTTAGCATTGTATTCAATAGAATTTGAGAAATCTTTCTAATGTTAATTTTCACAATTGCTCATCTCTTTTAATTTCTGGAGTCCTGTGGAAAATCTTGATAAGATTTGCAAAACTATGCAAAAATTCTGCTTTTCTGTTGTTTAGTGAAATCTACTGTTTCCCTTGTACTCAGCAGTGGATGATTATTGTATTTATGTCTTCAAAACATTCTGAATTTTTTATCCTTTTCATGTGTCTACCTCCTCTCTCTTCCACACAGAAGACCTCCATGCTGTTTACAACCTTCTCATGAGAAGATAGGACTCAAATCATATGATGGAACAGACACAATTTTAGAAAAAGATGTAATGGTAACCTCAGATTTTCTGTTTGCTTCTTTCCTACTATTCTTTAGTACTTCATAGTATAAAAAACAGTGATGATCTTTACTGGGTAGTAATAGATAGCTGAAAGCTCCTGACCCATGCACAGAAAGTGATGAAACACAAAAGCTGAGACTTTTTGACAGTCACCTTTCATCTGACTGCTTTGAAAATCTAGTGTCATTGCTAATTTTTGCTACATCATTACCCATCTCCCAGGATTATATATGAGTAGAATGAAATTATTATGTACATGCACAGATCTTTCCTATACTCTACTTCCATTCTCCTCTACATTGTTAAAAATGTCTCTGTCTCTCCCTTTTCCTCCCTCTTCATTAATTTTGTTCTTCAAAGCTCTTACATAATCTAAAGACACCATAGGACAAAAAGGAAAGTTTCCTCACAGATCAAGAATTGACTAAAAAACAGTCACAGAAGGACTGGAATAAATGGATTGAGCTTTTTGGTATAAGTAGTTGAATGTCCTCTGAGTAGTGGGCTTTCAACACTTTGTTTGCTTGCTTCAAAAGTATGACCAAACACTTTAAGCCAACAAAACCTTCTCAAAACCTTCTGCAGTGCTTCCTTTCTTTTTTTTTTTTTTCTGTAAGCCCTCTTTAACAGCCTCTTCTGATAATTTGTCTGATTTTTGTACCCCTTGCTGATGAGCTGATATTTTTCTACTTCCTTTGTCCTCTCCCACCTCCCCACCCCCAAGCCCCAAAAATACAGAGAACTTATTTCATTTGTGTTTCCATTACTAATCACAATGGAAAAATCATCAAGACTAATTATCTCTATTGTCCTGCCTGAACCACTTGAACCACTGCTAGTCAGGGGAAGCATATTCGTAGTACAGCAATTTTCATAGCAACAACTGTATGAAAACAAAAACATTCACAGGAGTAGAATTTCCTTTTACTCTTACATTTTTAAAATTGTTGACTTCCACCTAACCCTATTATATCATTCTCTATCACTGACTATTTAGGAATCACTGAAGTATAAAAGTAATTTGGAGTATCTGTTCAATTCACAATTGAAAATCCTAAAACAGACATTGAAAGAAAGTTGTCTTCTGTGCCATACCAACATTGAATTTCTGCTTCAAAACTAAGATGAGTATAACAAAAGGATTATTTGTAGCAGTCAACAGTATTAAACCAGAACATATCAAGGCATATAAAGGTTTCAGAAAGCCTTGAAGCTGTTCGTTAATAATACAATTTCTACAGTTTGGAACAGAATAACTACATTTTACTGGCAATATTATTCTTAGATTTGCAATTCATGGGACATGGGAATTGCAATTCATGCAATTCCCATCTGGGTATTGCAGAGACGGAAACTTCTGGAAAAACTTGCCTCAGGGTTTCCAACTCAAGGTCCTATTTTCAATGCTGATAAGCTTCCTGAACTCTGCAAGCCTGGACCTCCCTGAAGATATTCAGGAACTGTTTGGAATACACAACCCTGTGCCATGTGCTCTGGGATGACCCTGCTTGAGCAGGGAGGTTGAACCAGATGAACTCCTGTGCTCCCTTCCAACCTTACCCAGTCTGTGATTCTGTGGTCTAGTCCTGTGATTTTCCATTACACAACCACCCTTTGGGAAAGTGAAAAAACCTTTGGGAAAGTGAAATAAATAAACAGATAAATAAAAATTTTTAAAAACACCCAACACTACAAGATAACTAATATTTCACATTAAGTTTTCATTAATGCCATTACTGTGATGCTCTTCAAATTACACATTGCTGTCTTTGCCTAATCTGACTAATACCACGTACACACACAACAATAAACTGGTTTTATCAAACACGCATCCACGTGTTTTCTCTCCCACATGATAAAATAGCACTGTCAGTTGCTATGATAAAAAGTCTTTTTCCTTGTTATATTAACTTTTTTCATGTGTGCCTCATTATTTCTTCATGTTGATTACTCAGTGGAAGAGTTGAATTCTATTTAAGGCTATGGAAAAGGTCATGGACAAAAGGGAACTCGAGTCTCTGTTTGCCATTTTAAAAGAAAACTACCACACTTGTGTTAATATTTGCTTTCACTTACAGCAGGTATACTTAGGCTATCTGAATAGCAAATCATGGTGGGTAGTGTGAATGAAAAAGTACTGAAGTTATTGATGTCAGGAGAAAGATGTAGACATGTAACAACAGATTCTTTTCCAACAGAAATCTCTTAAAATACTTGGGATTTTCTTGTTATGGTTAAAAGCTGTTCAGCTACCCAAATTTATCAGCTACCCACTGCAGAGAAGAAGAATTCCATTATTTGTATCTGATATCCAGAGAAGTAAAATAAGTAATCAGAACATGCAAGTTAAAAGAAAAGTCTATTAAAATAAATTAAACTGAATGCAAAGTAAAAGATGCTACAAAAAATAAATTATTTCAATAAAAATAAAGTTACATGAGCACAGGACATTAATGACTTCTGGGTTGTCAGCTGTTTGATTACTTTTGGTGGGGGGAGTGAAAACACAGTGAAAAGAATTTTGGTTGCAATTCCAGTCTTAATTCACCAGAAAGACAGTCATTTCTAAATGCAAATTTTACCACTGCTTTCAAGGAATGGTGTCAAGCCAGGTTTTCTAAGAGATAATAAAGGACAGGACTTGAGGTTTGCTGCCTGGATCCATTAATAACATTCCAAAAACAGTATATTTTATATTATAAAAAACTATTTGTTGAGAGGCAAGATTCATAACTTGAAGAAGAGTTTGATTGCTGCTTGTGAAAATTTACACAGACTGTAAAAAGGGTTCAGTCAGGTCAGGATCTTCCAGAATAGGCCCTGACAGATACAAGCAATACTTACCTTGCCTGCTCTGCCTTGATATCTGCCTTGGTTGTCAGAAGTAACCAATGCAATATATCCCTTCCAGCATGATATTAGCTCTTCCCTCAAAATCATTCATCCTTCTGCCATCTTGCCCATCTTGTAAGTGGGAGCGAACAGAGAAATTAAGCACAAGACCAAGTCTGTCCCTGCTTCCAATTAGGAGAAATGGAAAGCAAACTGGAAAGCGCACTGAAGTAATATGCAACAGACTATACTAAAAATGCAATTATGCTCCAGGTAGAAGAAAAATGCCAGGATACTGCATCTTGGGAAAGTTAATACAGAATGGTATTTCCTCCTACGCAGCTTTGGTAACAATATGCTAATGCTGTATATTTGACAGTAGTCTGCTCCAGCTTCTGCACCTGTGACAGCCAAGGAATGAAACAGCATTTTAAATAGCACTTGCTTCTTATTTTAAAGTATTATCTAAGTTCATAGCTGCTATGGTATTAAAATGTGACTCAGATAATCACTAGTTACTGTTCAATCAAAATTGCAGTTAAACTGGAGTTACTTATATGAAAATGGAATCCTAACACATATTAAATTCTGCCTTTAGATGTGTTGTCTAAACACAAACATCCTGGAAACAATACTTCATACATGTCAACACATCAGTAATGCCAAGAAAGCTTGCTATGTCTGAAGATTGCAAGGCATGGTCTCTTGATGGGATTAATGTAGGTGTTATTTTGATTTTTTAACCTAGATTAACTTCTTTTTTGCTTTTATAAGCTTTTAAATATTTATAAATGACAGCTTGGTTCAGCTATTCACTGCAGATTGACTTATTCAGTCTAATTACTTCTTATGTTATGTGAAAGCATTACTCATAAGTTCAATTTTACTGGAAGACTGATCTAAAAATATACCTGCATTTCCACTCCGTTTTACACACTGAATGAACAGATAAACAACATAATTAATTTTCACTAAGGTATTTTCTCTAAGAAAATAGTATAGTTCAGTCCACAGAATTAAAAAATTAAGTTGTACTAAGAGATTAAAAAGCACATAGATGGTTTTGAACTCTGCAGAGATTGAGAACGTAGAAGGCAGTTAACAAAAGTTTCAGACCAGAACTACCAACCAGGGAACAACATGACATGGGGTGCTAGGGAAAAATTAAGAGTTCAGGATTGTGTCAGAGGCTGTTACTAGTGACTCATTTGGCAAGAAGAGAATAGTTTCTTTGTATTAAACCTAGTGCCTCTCAGTTCACCTAGAACAGGGAGCATTTTCTGTAACCTGCCCAGAATGCACTCTATTTCCTTTCCCATGGCCTCTCCCAGAAGTACACCACCAAAATGTACCCTACCCATTCAGCAGAGTATTCTGGGGAGCAGGGCATTAATGAGGAGAAAGTATCCACACCCAAAGAGAGCAAATAAACACGGTCACCGTGTCCTCTCCAAGAGGAACTCGGGGAAAAAATGAGTTTCCGTATTGCCTCTTACTTTCTCCATTTCCGATAACTTTTGAATTGGCTCCTTTCACAAGGCACTTTTTACTATACTCATATCCACATAGGCAAAATGTGCAGGTCAAAACCACAGAGAGTGAGAAGGAGCACACAGGGAGAAACATCTTCATGTATTTGTCATACCTTCTCTTAGTTGACCAATATAACAATAAAAGAGCTGCTATCAAATAATAGTGGTTTGAAATATTTCAGGATTATTAGTAGTTCAGGGATTAAAATAATCTATTTCCAAGATTCATGGCACAATAGTTTATACAATTCTGCTTCTTTTAATACCTCACAACTTTTATCATCTAATATTTTTCTTCTTTCCAAAACAAATTTCAGCTTCCTTAGTGTATTGCTGCTTATTTTATTGCTTTCATTTCCATTTTCTCCTTGCACTAAGATTCCACCTCAGAGATTACATAGCCATTCATATGTTCAGCAGGGCTAAACACTGGAAAAATCCCAAACCATCTTACTGTCTGGGGGCCAAGAAAAGGAGGTTTCACATGTCTGCAAAACCATTCTTGGTCTGGAATTACTGACCCTGAGAAAGTTTATATCATCATCTTTTCCTGCTGGCTAATTGCTCTGCTCATTTCCAATCAGCATGTTCCATCTTGAAATAACTGCACTCAAGAGATTGCTTCTATAGTCTTGTGTTCAGTCTCAGAAACTTCAATTACTTGCACTCATCGCAAACAACTTTGACCCATTTTTTAAGTCACTAAAAAAAAATTCATAGAATTTCACTCTCCTTTCAGAAGAAAAACACAGAAAAACATAAGAAACAACCCTGTCATACAGTTACAGTACCAAAGCACTGTAACTGTACCACCCTAGGGAATCGTGTGGTAAAATGTATAATAAACAATTTAAGCTTCTTTCTTCTTCAAGCCAAAATGATTGCTTGCCTCACATATTTAAAAAACAAAGTATATAAGTTGCAGTTGGGACTGTGATTTCCCAAGCACAAATCCTAAAGTTGGACAGAACCCCAGTTTCATATTACATTGATGTGTTCCAGGTTGCAGGAAGCTCAGATTTACAGCCCTGGAACCACTGCTATTTGTGAAGTTTAAAACAAAAACCAGCCCTTCCCACCCTCAGCCCTGAGCTTGCTCTCCAAGAGCAGTGTATTCCTAGATGGGTACAGGAAGAGTTTCAATCACGAGCACTGCCTGACTCAAGAAGAATTTGAACATTTGCAGCACTACCAAACACCACTTCCTTTCTCAACCAAGTATTTTCATAGAATCATGGGATCATTTAGGTTGGCAAAGACCTTTAAGATCAAATCCAACCCTTAACCAGGCACTGCCAAGTCCACCACTGAACCATATCCCTAAGTGCCACAACTACAGGAGATGGTGACTCCACCACTTACCTGGACAACCTGTTCCAAAGCTTGAAAAATCCTTCCATAAAGAAATTTTTCTTAATGTCCAGTATAAATTTCCCTTGGTTCAAATATGGAAGGGAGAATAGTAATGTGACACAGCTAGTAATGGTAGATTTTAGAAGTTGCAAAAAAAACCTAAACATATTAAAAACAAACTTAAAGAAGCACTGAGCTGATATTTTGACCATCTGATGATGTGCAGACATAGGAAAAAATACATCACCTTTTAAAACTGAGTTTTCACCTCTAGATTTATCAACAATTTCCTTTGAAAGCATCCTACAGAGTAGAGTATATTATTTATAAACTAGCATCACTATAAAGAATAGATTGTTTAGGAAATGTAGAAGTAAAGTTACTATTAAGTGTAAAAGTAGTAACCAACGATCATCAAATGATTACAAAGACTGCTGAATGGTCTGAACCAAAATCTTTTGACAACCCTTGTAAAATGGCCACAGAATTCCAAAAAATATTCTTTTAACAGAGATAGAACATTGTATCTGCACAAGCCCATGGATAGCTGAGGACACAACCTTTCAGCCTGGTACCTGCATTGCAAGTCAGACTTCCAAGCCCTTCTATGGTCTTCAGCTTTCAATACAGTCAATACACTTAAACATTCAATCTGCTGTTGCAGTGTAATTTTTATGTGTTGACTTTCTTGTTCTCTGTGACATTTGCTTTTCCCTTCCTTTATATATTCTTCCTCTGTCAGCCTAAGGCCTCATTCACATAGCTACATAGGCCATTAAAGCACTTTTTGAGCAACTGTCCACAAAATTGACAGTTTTCTGCTGAAAAACAAAGCAGATTCTCCTTTGTTGCTATCCATTTTTTCTTTTAATATAGCTGAAAATTGGGCCCTATATTCATATTTTCCCTGGAGATAATACATGTACATCAATATTTCATTATATAGTTGACTTGAATTTTGGGGATTCTTCATTTAGAATGATGGGGATTCATCACAGTAGATACCAGTGTTCAAATATATTCAGAGACTGAAGTGTGTACTAGAAGTCACAGTGGCTTCTTTCAGTGTCTTCCAGGACAACAAGGGGGCATATTGAAATAGCAGGACAAATGCAAGCAAAGAGCTTTTCTGAGGAAATATCCACAATTATTGTAAGTTACCTGACCCAAACATATTAAAATAACAAATATATATGGGTTGATTTTACTGAAGATAAGATATAATGAAATCTGGTATCTTTGTTTAGAAGGAACATAAAAAATCCTGTTTCTTCAGAGTGCCAGAGAAATCAAAAGGAAACAAAAAGTCTTTTCTGAAATCTTCAACTTTTTTCCATTGGTCAGTACCTAAGCCTGAACACTGAAATCCAACATTCCTCTCAGACATTCTGTGTTCCGTAGGTATATTTTCAATTTTCTACTTTCCTTTGCCATTCCCCACTTTTGTATACTTATACAGCAAGATTCCTCTGCCTGTACAGTCCTACTTTATGTAAGCTGAAACCCTTGTGATGCCTAATTGAGCTTCTTCTGCTACCTTGCACTTTTGTTTATAATATGAGGCTATATTTTCAAGTTTCAGCTGTGTCTAAAAACTCCATATGAACTAAAAGGAAACCTAGAAATATAGAACATTGATTTACTTGATTTTTTTTTCCTTTTTTTTTTCTTTTTTTTAATAAAAAAGCTACCTGATTTCATGGGGAAATGATTTAGAGGAAGAACATTGCAATTTCATAGATGTCCTAGAAAAGATAAACAACAAAACTCATTTCTGCTATGGAGCACGCTACATATATTTTGTAGTATTTGTGACTGAATTTCTACAGAGCAAAAACTAAACCATGCTTGTGACAAGATGACCCTCAGATTGGCAGCTTAGATCAGTTTTCCAATTTTCCCTTTCTCAGCCAGTTGATATCTACTGATATTTTACCAGAACCCTTTTAGGTATGGCAAATATTTGTTTCTATAAAGAAATACATACAAGTAGCACTCCCAAAAACTGATCAAAACTTGTATTTCTCAACACAGGCTTAGTCTTTCCAACAGCCACTGAGAACTTCTGCACCATTACACAGCTGCTTGATACATCTTACAGCTGAGATAAATGCCTCAGGATCCGTGGACCCTTTCCAAAGGACTGATGTCCTTGCAGAGACATTCTGCAAGTCTGCTTCAGAAGCAGAGTTAAGCAGTCCTGAAGAAGTGCATAGGACAAGCTCTTCTACAGGACTGCATTTTACTGTCAGCCTGGCACAAGTGTGGCATATTGAAGCCAGTGTGTTCCAGCGAAACGCACAAACACCTCTCAGAGCTGACACATCGATGCCAAGATCCACTCCCAGCTGGCAGTGGGGACAGGTTGCACTGGGTTTGGCTTCCTCCCATCCTCTAAGACTATCCCAGACAGCTTCACACCCTAAACCATACTTGCACGT